GCAGCCCCGGTGCCGGTTGGCAGTCCCGGTTCCCGCTGCCGGTTCCCGGTGCCCGTTCCCGCCCCTCCCTTTGTGCCCGTCAGTCCCGGTGCCGGTTGGCAGTCCCGGTGCCGGTTGGCAGTCCCGGTTCCCGCTGCCGGTTCCCGGTGCCCGTTCCCGCCCCTCCCTTTGTGCCCGGCAGTCCCGGTGCCGGTTGGCAGTCCCGGTGCCGGTTGGCAGTCCCGGTTCCCGCTGCCGGTTCCCGGTGCCCGTTCCCGCCCCTCCCTTTGTGCCCGTCAGTCCCGGCGGGGGCGTGGGGGGTGTGTGCACGTGACCGCCCCTCCCCCGCGCTGACGTCATCCCAGGGCCCCGCGCGCTGTTGTCCCGTTTACCCGCCGGTTGCCCCGGCGACGGCGCGGCCGGGGGTGGGCGTGGCCCGGCGAGTGGGCGTGGCGCCACCTCCCCGGGGCGGCGGCCCCTCCCCTTATGCAAACGAGGGCGGGCGAGCACGTCATCTGCAGCCAATGGAGGCCCGGCGCGGTGAGGTCACCGCGGCGGCGCCGCCTATTTAAAGCGGCGCGGGGCGCGCGGCGGCGGCAGACGTGTGTGCGCGCGCGCAGGAGCGGGGCCGCGGCCGGTGCGCACCGGGCGCCTCCCCCGCCCCCTCCCCAACCCCTTTCCCCGCGCTCGCCCCGGTCCTTCCCCCCCCCCTCCCGGCCCCGTTTCCCCCGCAGCCGGGCGGGGGAGGAGGATGGAAACACCCTTCTACCATGATGATGTGTTGAGCGGCCTCGGCAGCGGCTTCGCCCCGTCCTCCGGTAGCAGCGGGCTCCTCCTGCCATTCCCTGGCGGCAGCATGATGAAGAAGGACGCGCTCGGCATGGCCTTACCGGAGCAGTTGGCGGCGGCGCTGAAAGCCCCCGGCGCGGCCAGCGGCGAGGCGGCGGGGCTGCTGGGCTCGGCCGAGCTGGGGCTGCTCAAACTGGCGTCGCCGGAGCTGGAGCGGCTCATCATCCAGTCCAACGGGCTGGTCACCACCACGCCGACGAGCGGGCAGTTCCTCTACCCGAAAGCGGCCGCCTCCGAGGAGCAGGAGTTCGCCGAGGGCTTCGTGAAGGCGCTGGAGGACTTGCACAAGCAGAACCAGCTGGGCGGCGGCGCGGCGGGGAGCGGCGGCGGCGGAGGAGGGAGCGGCGGCGGCGGCGGGAGCGGCGGCGCGGGCGAGTTGCCCGCCGCCGGGATGGCCCCGGAGCCGCCGGTCTACGCCAACCTCAGCACCGGGAGCGGCGGCGCGGGCGAGTTGCCCGCCGCCGGGATGGCCCCGGAGCCGCCGGTCTACGCCAACCTCAGCACCTACCCGGCCGTCAGCTACGCGGCCGACCCGGGGCCGTTCGCGGCGCCGCCGCCGCGGCTCCCGCCGCCGCCCCCGCCGCCGCCGCCGCTGAAGGACGAGCCGCAGATCGTGCCGGAGGTGCCGAGTTTCGGGGAGAGCCCGCCGCTGTCCCCCATCGACATGGACACGCAGGAGCGCATCAAGGCGGAGCGGAAGCGGCTGAGGAACCGCATCGCCGCCTCCAAGTGCCGCAAGAGGAAGCTGGAGCGGATCTCCCGGCTGGAGGAGAAGGTGAAGAGCCTCAAGAGCCAGAACACGGAGCTCGCCTCCACCGCCAGCCTGCTCCGCGAGCAGGTCGCCCAGCTCAAGCAGAAGGTGCTCAGCCACGTCAACAGCGGCTGCCAGCTCCTGCCCCAGCACCAGCATCAGGTGCCGGCGTACTGACCGGGGGGGCCCGAGCCCGGGAACGGACTTTGACGGGTCCCGGGCACGGACCGAGGGGAGCGGGAGGAACGCCCGCCCTGCCCCGGGCACGGACCGAGGGGAACTTGGGGAGCGCCCGCCCTGCCCCGGGCACGGACCGAGGGGAACTTGGGGAGCCGCCCGTGCGTGCCGGGCACAGACTGAGGGGAGCGGGGGGAGAGCCCGTCCCGCCCCGGGAACGGACCGAGGGGTTCCGGGCACGGAGCGGGGGGAGCGCCCGCCATGCCCCGGGCGCGGACTGAGGGATGCCGGGCATGGACGGAGGGGTCCCGAGGGGAGGAAGAGGAGCGATAATCAGCCCCCTCAGCTCCCTGAGGGGTCCGAGCGGACGTCCGGGACCGGCTCCGGGCGGTGGGCACCGAGCACCCCCCGCGCACGGGCTGCGGGGAGGGAGAAGCCGGGGGTTCCCCTCACGGCCTGAGGGGGGACCTGGGCCTCCCCCCCGCGCCCCACACATTCCAGTCAGGCCCCAGTAAAGCCCCGCGACACGGAGAATTTGGCTTCTCGCTGTTTGCTGCGCCGGCGGGGGACGGGAAGGGAAAGGAAGGGAAGGGGCGGCGCGGGCAGGAAGCGGCGCGGCCGGGGGCCATCTTGGGGCGGGGGGGGAGCGGCGACGGAGGGGTTTGGGGAGGTTTTGGGGGGTTTTTCGGGGTGAGAGGAGTCGGGGGAAGGGGAGGAGTGGTGCTGGAGAAGGGTCTCTGGGAAGGGGGGGTGAGAGGGTTTATGGGGTTGTGGGGTGGGGGCGTTTTAGGGTTGCTGGGAAGCGCGGGGGATGTTGGGGGGGGAGTTCTGTCGGGCGCTAGTGGAGGGTTTGGATGTTGAAGGGGGGTGTTGTGGGGTTACTGGGGCTCGCTTGAGGGGGTTGGGATTACTGGGAGTGCCGGGGCGGGAAAATCTCGTCAGGTAGTAGTGCATCTGGATTTGGATGTTGGGGGGTGCTCCCTGGAGGGGTGTACTGAGGCTCCTCTGAGGGGTTTTGGGTCTCTCTTGGGGGGATATGCTTTTACTGGGGATCCCCGTGGGTGAGGGGAACCTGCTGCCGGTCCTGGCTGTGGCTCTGCCCTGTCAGCCCCCTGGTTCCTCTGCGTTGGGGGGTTCACTGACACCGACACCCCCCTGTCCCGGCCCCTCGGGGTCACCCCATGGCACCCAGCGAGGCTGGGCCTCCGCTGCTCCTCCCCAGACTTCGGGAACTGGCCTTGACTTCCCGGCACTGCCATGGCTCCTCCTCTGCCTCCCCCACCTGTGGGGCCCTATCCCGGCTCCATCCAGGGAGCAGCACCCGAGAAACCAACCCTCTGCTCCCGGAGCCTTTGGGGACGGTACCGGAGGCAGCTTTGGCCTGTTCCAGCACTGGGATCACCCCGCTCCTGGGGAGCCTGGCACGGGGGGGCCCTGCCGTGGGTGATGGGAGGAGTGTGAGCTCCTTTGGGACCCTGCCGTGGGTGGCTCCCTGGGGACCCCGTGCTCGGTGCCAGCCGGCTGCGGTTTGGCAGAGGAAGCGCCTTCCCCGCCGCGCGGAAGCGGCCCCGGCGTGGTTGAGCTGCGCCCCGGATGCGCTGCTCCAGCACCAAGACGGACGGGGCTGCCACCTGTCTCCCTGTGGCAGGGCCAGCAACAGCCCCGTGGCTCTGGTGTCCCCGTGTCACCACAGCCCTGCGTGCCCAAGTCGCTGTGTCCCAACATCGCCAAGTCCCTGCATCTTGATGTTCCCAGATGCCCGTGTTCCCAAGACCCCACATCCCTTGTCCTCAAGTCCCTGCATCCTGAAATCCCCAGATCCCGTTTTCCCTAAGTCCTTGCATTCTGATGTCCCTTTGTCCCTTGATCCCTTTGTCCCCAAAGCCCCACATGCTGCTCTCTCTGTGTGTCTCCAGATCCCTCTGTCTCTCAGACCCCACATCCCAATGACCCACATTCCCAGATCCCTTTGTCCCCAAATCCCCACATACTGCTGTCCATGTGTCCCCAGAGCCCTTTGTCCCCCAAATCCTCACATCCCGACATCCCCACCTTCCCAGATCCACTTGTTCCTCCCCCCAGGACCTCGGGATGCTGACAGGGCTGGCTCCCGGTGCCTGGGGTGGGCGGGTGGGGGTCTCACGGCCCCAGGGTGGGAGGTGCGCGGGTGAAAACTGATGCCCGGGGCCGGGGGCTCCTCCCGGTGCCCGCAGGGTCCCGGGGCTGCGGCGCCGCCCGGTACCGACAGAGGGCGCCGCGGGCGGGGTCGCCCCCGCCTCCCCCGGGGCGGATGAAGGCGGCGGGACCGGCATCGGGACCGGGAGCGGGCGGGATGCTCCCGGGAGCGCTCTGCCTGCTCTGCTGCGCCGCTGCCCTGCTCGCTGCTGCAGGTACCGGGCACCGGGGGGGGTTCCGGGGGCATCCCGGGGGCACTCGGGATCTGCAGCACCGGGGGGTGGGTCTGTGGCCTCCCCCCGCCCAGTCCCGGGTACCGGGAGGGGGGTCGAGGTGCTCGAGGGCACCAGGGAAGTTCAGGGAGGTGACCATGTGCTCCCCTGAACTCTGCACTGAGGGCTCAATGGGGAACTGGGGGGGTTCCTGTGGTCCCCCTCCAGGGCCTCATGGCACAGGGGGGCTGCACCTGCTTCCCGGAGGTGCCAGGCTGGAGGGGAGCACCCGGACACTGCCCAGTACCCTGTGCTGCTGTGAGCCCCCCATTTCCAGCCCGGGCCCCCAGCACCACCACCCCCTGCACCCCAAGGTGCTTCAGCTCACCCTTCCCGGCAAAGGGTGCTTGGCCCTGGGTTCAACCATCCTGGTGTGAGGCAGCAGCTGGGTGGGAACAGCCCGTCCTGGTGGGTGCAGCAGCTGTGGGGACCCCCAGCCCGCGGCCACACTGTGCCCCTGGGTGTTGGCGCTGGGTGCTGGCTCTGCCACGAGGCATTTTGCTCCAGTGTCCCCCTGGGGCCAGGCTGGACCTGCTCCTCCTCTTGTGCAAACAGGACTTGGGCAGATAAGGGCACTGCCCGGAAAACACCACCACGTCCCACGTGGCCCCAGCGGAGTCCCCATCACGCCCGGCCCTGAGGGTGTCTGGTGGGTGCCACGAGGGCCGGGCTGGCACATGTCCCTGTGCCGTGGCACTTACCTGCTGCTGCCACGCTGCTCTGCTTGTGCAACAACCGGTTGGGAGGCTCTTTCTGACCCTGCATTTCTGGGAGCCCACATTGGCTAAATCCCAGTTTTCCGTGTGTGATGAAAAACACCTGGGAAACGATCCCTGTGGCACCGGGAGCCCAGGCAGGTGCTGCTGCCCTTCCTGGGGCCCTGCCTGCCCCTGCCAGGGCCCTGCTGTGTCCTTGCTGACCAGCTCTCTCCTCCAAGGTCTAGAGCCAGGACATGGCACCAATGTCTCCTCCGCAGTGGCTCTAAGCAGCTCAGGGACAGCCGTGTCACCGAGTCCATCCAGGACACTGGGATCAGCAGCACCTCCTGTATCTCCATCCAATACCACCATGGCACTGACTCCATCCAGGACACTGGGATCAACAGCACCTCCAGCATCTCCATCCAACACCACCACACCGACTCCATCCAGGACACTGGAATCAACACCACTTCCAGCATCTCCATCCAACACCACCACACCAACTCCATCCAGGACACTGGAATCAACACCACTTCCAGCATCTCCATCTAACACCACCACACCAACTCCATCCAGGACACTGGAATCAACACCACTTCCAGCATCTCCATCCAACACCACCACACCAACTCCATCCAGGACACTGGAATCAACACCACTTCCAGCATCTCCA